GGGATATTTTGGGGATCTCTCAGGGATATTTTGGGGTTTATTTTGGGGTTTATTTTTAGGATATTTTGGGGAAATTTGGGGATATCTCAGGGATATTTTGGGGATATTTTGGGGTTTATTTTTAGGATATTTTGGGGTTTATTTTTAGGATATTTTGGGGATATTTTGGGGATCTCTCAGGGATATTTTGGGGATATTTCGGGGTTCATTTGGGGGTTTTTGGGGCCCTCACCTGCTCCACCAGGCGGGCCTGGCCCTGCAGCAGGGCTGGCAGCAGAGCTCTCTGCAGCAGCCGCACCGAGCCCGGGAACAGCATCCGGCGGCCCAGGGTGTGGGCCAGGAGAAACCTGGGCGGGGCCCGCGTGGGACACGCCCAGGGGGCGGGGTTAGTTAATGGGACACGCCCAGGGGCGGGGTCAGCCAATGGGAAACGCCCAGGGGCGGGGTCAGCCAATGGGACACGCCCCGGGGCGGGGTCAGTTAATGGGAAACGCCCACGGGCGGGGTCAGCCAGTGGGACACGCCCAGGGGGCGGGGTCAGCAAATGGAACACGCCCAGGGGGCGGAGACAGCCAATGGGATACGCCCAGGGGGCGGGGTCAGCCAATGGGACACGCCCAGGGGCGGGATCAGCCAATAGGATACGCCCAGGGAGGCGTGGTCAGCCAATGGGAAACGCCCGTGGGTGTGGTCAGGACAGGGGGCGTGGCCAACCCTCACATCCACCCCCTCCCCACCCTGACCACGCCCCCTTTAGCCCCACCCACCCGAACCCCGCCCCTCCCCCGGGCCCCGCCCACCTGGCCAGGGCACACGGAAGTTTCCGGAGCGCCCCCAGGAGCCCCCGGGAGCCCCCCCGGGGCTTGGGGGGGGTCTGGAGCAGCGGCACCGCCCGGGCCCCGCCCCTGCAACGAAATTTGGGGGTCGGGGGGGGGGTCTGGGGGGTCCCAGAGAGGGTTTTGGGGTCCCAGGGAGGGTTTTGGGGTCACAGGGGGGTTTTTGGGGATCCCAGGGGGGGTTTTGGGGATCCCGGGGGGGGGTTGGGGGTCCCAGGGAGGTTTCTGGGGGTCCCAGGGAAGTTTCTGGGGTTCCCAGGGAGGTTTCTAGGGGTCCCAGGGAGGTTTTTGGGGGTCCCAGGGAAGGTTTTGGGGGTCCCAGGGAAGGTTTTGGGGGTCCCGGGGGGGTTTTGGGGCTCAGACCAGGCGGGCCCGGCGCTGTCCCAGCGGAAATCCACGGGCCAGCTGCGGAAGTCGAAGGTGTAGAGGCCGAGTTTGCGCTGGGGGGAGGGGGGAGAACGGACACCTGAGACCCCCCCGAGATGGCTCAGGGTTTTGGGGGGGGTCCCTGACGGCCTCAGGGGGTCCCCAGCCCCCCTTCCCGGGGGTCCCACCTTGCTCTCGGGGGTGCCCGAGCGGTGGCTCTCCTCCAGCACCGCGATGAACTCCAGGTACTGGGGGTTGCTCCAGCGGCCCAGCCCTGGATGGATTGGGGGTGGGGGGTTTTGGGGGGGGACACGAGGGGTCGGGGAGGGTCCCCGGGGGTCCCCCGGGGGGGTCCCAGGTGTCCCCAAAGCCCCCTCACCTCTCAGGCAGGCCACGCCCGCCAGCAGCAGCCCCAGGGTGGCGGCGCAGTGGGAAAGGGGCACCACGCGGGACATGGTGAGCAGGCCTGGGGGGACGGGTGAGAGACCCCAAAAACAGCCCCGAAACATCCCAGAAACACCCCCAAAAACAGCCCCAAAAACATCCCAGAAACACCCCGAAACACACCCAGAAAACACCCCAAAAACAGCCCCGAAACATCCCAGAAACACCCCAAAGACAGCCCCAAAACCACCCAGAAAACACCCCAAAACCAACCCAAACACACCCTCCAAAAAACCCTGAAAACACCCCAAAAACAGCCCCAAAATATTCTAAAAACTGCCCTACAATCCCCCCCAAAAATCCAAAAACCACCCTCAAAACCAACCCCAAAGACACTGAAAATTCCCCAAAACTGCCCCCAAAACCACGCCACGAACTCCACAAAACCCCCCAAATCCTCCCCATTTCCCCCCAAATCCCCCCCATTTCCCCCAAACCCCCCCATTTCCCCCAAATCCCCCCATTTCCCCCCAGCCGCACCTTTCCGGTACAGGTAGAACACGGCCAGGGGGGAGGCGTAGTACGAGATGGACCAAAGCACCGAGGCCTGCGGGACCCCCGGCCCCTGAGACCCCCGGGACTGGGGGGGACCCGGGGGGGTCCCTGAAGGGAATTTGGGGGGATTGGGGATGGGGAAGGTCCCCGGTTCATGAGGGAGGGGCGGGAAATGCGGCCCAGGGAGGGCTCCAGGCCCACTCGGGGGTCGCAGAGGGACGGGGGGACCCCCCCGGGGCAGGGGAGGGGGACACCGACAGAGCCGGGGGGGGGTCCCCGGGAGGTGGCGGAGCCCCCCCCGCCCTCACCAGCGCCAGGACACTGTCCGTGTGCTTCTCCAGCCCCCGCGGTTGGTAATAGGAGTCCTGGGGGGGACACGGGGGGGGTCAGCGCGGGGCTGGGGGCTCCGCGTCCCCGCGGTTCCCATGGCAACCGCGCCGCCGGGCCCCGCGCCTCACCCAGGCCGGCTCCCCCCGCTCACCGCCCGCGCCCTCCGGCCCCGCCGCGGCCCCTCCGGCCGCTCCGCTCAAGCGGGGCCGGTGGACGCGGTAGAGCCGCGGGCCCAGGACGCAGCTGAGGAGCTTCGCCATGACGGCGGCGCCGGAAGTGGCGGCGCTTCCGGGAGACGGAGCTTCCGGTCCGGGGCGGGGCCAAGGACGGAGAGAGCGATGGGCGGGGACTGACGGCAAAGCCACGCCCACTGGGCGTTGTCATGGGAACGGGGGCGGGACAAAATGGCGGGGTTGTCATGGGAATGAGGGCGGGACAAAATGGCGGGGTTGTCATGGGAACGGGGGCGGGACAAAATGGCGGCGTTGTCATGGGAACGGGGGCGGGACAAAATGGCGGCGTTGTCATGGGAACGGGGCGGGCCTGCGCGAAAAGGCCCCGAAATTCCCCAAAAGCGGCTGAAATTTCCCCAAAAGCGGCTGAAATTTCCCCAAAATAAAGCGAAAGGGGCGGAAACGGAGCAAAAGGATCCCGAAACCGGCTCGAG